TGTAGGGTTGGAATTAAGATATCAATGGCTTCACTATAATCATATATACATACGTGTAACATGTGATATGTTTATGCTATATTAGGGTTGGGACTCATCCAGATGGGTGAGGATCGGGGGGGGGGGATTCGTCTGATAATATGGTACATGAGTGCAGACTGAATACCTTGTTGTAAAATAATTGATGGTGGTAGTTGGCTAACTCTCAACACCCAGTCCTTCATGACAGTTGAAGGCCATATATAATAAAACGTATGTAACCAGGTTAATCCATCATTGAACTTCTTTAAGTGTGACTTAGTAAATTGAACAGTAATACACTATAAACTATAAATACTAACGGTTATCATTTGCTCGACATCAGTACCATAGTTGAAACGTTTTAACGATGATGCTCTCGTATTTATCGCGCAATGGTCCAGGATTATTGACCAAACGTTGCATGTTAATAAACCAGTATTTTTTATTACGTAAATAGATTTTAATGTGGAATCCAGCAATATATATAACTAATGTTATTATAATATTATTAATATATGACAATATAATAACAACATTCACAGAGTATCAATTACTTAACTTGATACGTACAATGTAAACACACACATGTATAATAATATTGTCCTCCCAAATCCGTTGGTAAGACATTTTTTTTAGAATGGGATATCAATCACTGGTTTTATTCTAACAGATCAACAAGTAACATCTTATCTTTATCAAGTACACTGTGAAATGAAATGGGATTTGACGTCCTGCTGTTCTACTCCAACTAGACGACAAACACTATTAAACTTGGGGTCAATATAACCAGACACATGCATAATAATGTTGTCCTCACAAATCAGTTGGTAAGACATTTTCTAACATGAGATATGAATCATTGGTTTTATTCTAATAGATCAACAAGTATCCTGTTATTGTTATCAAGTACACTGTGAAATGAAATGGGGTTTAACGTCCTACTGTTCTGCCCCGACTGGGCTAATCAAGACGGCAAACACTAGTAAACTTGAGGTCAATATATATATATATGTATGATATCCATAATGAGGCCATTTACAGAGATATAACATTAAAAAGTAAACAAATGCCGCTTAACGATCATGATTTTCAAGCCCTGACCCTTCCACTGTTGGATCTAATAGGTAATGGACCCGCCACTGATCGCGCAGTGTATATCTAAATGTGAGGATCATTATCACCGTTTTAACCTCAGTCCACTCTAATCCTATACATGTATACATTTAAATGTGGGTATCATTACTATCGTGTTGGCCTCAGTCAACGCTAATCCTATACACCTAAATGTGGGGATCATAACCGCCGTTGTGGCCCCATTCCACATCTAACCCTATACATGTATACATCTAAATGTGAGGATCATTACTATAGTTTTAACCTCACTCCAGTCTAATCCTATATATGTATACATCTAAATGAGTAGAAATATTGTCCTACAACTTCTGGTTATATAAAATCAAAAATAGCGCTTCAAATTTAATTTGTAAATAATAACGCTGTAAAATAACCAAACTAATTACACTGGAAGCTGTATAAGGATGAATTAAAGACGAGATAGAGAGAGAGAAAGAGAGAGAGAGGGAGAGAGAGAGAGAGAGGGGTAACGTCCACTCGACACAAACTAGGTCATTTCTGGAATAACATATGTTTTAATTTAATTTCAATAATTCGCTTGCGCGTAGGGGTCTTTAGCAGTGGGAGGAAACCAGACGACCCGGAAGAAACCCATGCGGTTGGAAGCATACAAACACAAACAGCACGTTGCATACAAAGACAAACAACACGTTGCATACAAACACAAATGAAATGAAATGCAGTTTTATGTCCTACTGTTCTGCTCCAAACTGGGCTAATGACGACGGATATAGGACATACAGTGTGCTATGAGGGAAATTTTACCCGGAAAGTGGCACTACGGCCTACTCTTATATCGACTTTCAACTGTCAAGGGTTCTTTTACGTGCGCGCCCAAGTGTACACGGGACATCGGGTTTTCGTCCCATCCGAACGACTAGACAGCTGTCTTTGTCAGGCCCTCCGTCCTGAATCACCGACAAAGTAGAACCACGACAAAAACAAAAAACACGTTGAATATGTTAATGTTGCTGAGGCCGAGGGGTTTTACACCATTAATCATATTAGAGTATGGTTTTAGAAGCCTTCTTTGTGTTATTCTCAAGGGTGGGATTAAGATTACATGCGGCCTCTTGCTGAACATCTAACAGGACCATTCGACCAACAGTTAACAGTGGTCATATTTCACCAGGGTCAGATTAAGGTAACATGACATCTATTTCAATATGGATAGATAGATTTATTTGACACACAGATGTCATGTAACCTTGGTGAAATATGACCACTGTTAACTGTTATATTACACTGTTATACTGTTACATTCTTATATCATATAAATAACATGTCAACAAATTGCTTTTGGAACCAATTTTGGGGCCCCTTTAATAATGAAGGCCCCTTGATGCATTTCAGTTAGCCCCCCATCCCCACCCTACCGCGCTTGTACCTGACAATGAGTAGGGTCGCTTGTCCTACGTCGTGGGGTTTCTCCTGTACCTCCCATTGCTAAAGACCCTTACGAGCAAGCGCATTATTGAAATAAAATTTTTAAACCATCTCTCCACCGCTTTCTTTCTCTCTCTCTCTGTTTCTATCTCTCTCTCTAGTTTGTGTCGAGTGGACGTTAAACCCCATCTCTCCACTCTCTTTTGTAAGTTAATGATTGAGTCAACAGACCAAATACATGGGGATAAGTAAACATTAACTGACATATGATCTAATCGGATTATCCAGATATTATCACGTGATGATCAAGTACACAATCATATATGAGTTCACACACCCAACAGAATATATTTTATTTTAACTGGATCTTTGGTTAATCAACGGATGTTTTGTACAACTGATTTATTATAACGGTAATTATTTATTATTCTGATTTCCTGGGATTTTAACATGGCGTCTAAATATACCTGTTCTATTTGTTTAAATAACTTTACTAAACCTAAATTACTGCCATGTTACCACACCTTCTGTGAAGAATGTATAGATGATCTTATTAAGGCTCATGCTCATTTCAACAAGTTTAACTGTCCTGTCTGTAGACAAGAAACCACAGTACCATCAGGCGGTGCCAGTCAGTTTGTCAACAACTTTTATCTAGAAGATGACGATGATGATAAACAGTATTGTACAAAACACAGGACGAAAGAAATAGAAGTTTATTGTCGAAATTGTTGCAAACCATGCTGTTCTGTTTGTGTTATGGTGGATCATGAAAATCATACGAAAGCTGATTTAGATGAAGTAGACCAGGAAATGAGAGAAATTGTCATAAAACTGAAATCTGAATCAGAAAAGAAGATAAAACAGTTACAGAAACATTCTGACTTTCTAAAGACCAAAATATCTGACATGAACAACTCGTGTAAGATAGCTTGTGATCAAGTTCAGAAACAAATAGACAATATTTGCGAAAAAGCCAAAAAGATGGGCGGAACAATTAAAGATGACATCAATAAAATTGGTGAAGATGAAAACAGTAAACTAACCAAACTAGTAGAAGATGATGACAAGATGACATCTAAAATGAAAGAATGGTGTGAATATGCTGATCGTATATTACAACATAAATCTATAATTACAGCTGTAGATAAAGATGGATTAACAGATGTTCAAACCAAAACAGATTACAACATATCAACAAATTTACAGAAACTTGAAGTCAGACATCCATGTTATTCTATGGTGGAGGTTGATGTAGTCAGTTTAAAACAACTACTGGGTGAAGTACAAGTACAAACACCAACAACATTTACCAGTAGTTTTAGTTTGAACCAGGTGAAGTCAGATATGGTGTGCTATAGTGATGTTGTAATGATACAAGGATTACCATGGTGTGTACGTGTTAGACATGATACATCAGAATTATATATTTACCCGGTATTGAAGAAAGTAGAAGATAAAACTATTAAAGCTTTTACAGCTAGTTATACAGTGAAACTGTTAAATATCAATGATGAGAGTAAATCACTAGTTGAACAAGCTATAGATACATGTAAACCTGGTGGTTATAATATATTTCCTAGTGTTTATATAAACCTAGATGAACTACAAGATATAAACAATGGTTTTATTGGTGACAACAAGATATTTACTGTACAAACTACTGTTAATATAACTGATGTAGAACGATAGTGAAGACATATAATAAACAATAACAGTTATAGTTATATAATAAACATTAGCCTACATTCATAAACAATAATAGGATAAACTACAGAATGTCAACAAACAGATTTGTTTTACTATAGATGTTATTGTAAATGTAACTGAAAATGGATCAATTCAGTTGATCTGATAGATACGTTTGTTGTTTGAGATATCTGTATATATGTCTCATGTCTTGTGTGTGGTGTGGTTCATGCTATTACACATAGAACAAATGCCTCCTCTAAATTTTAGTAATTAGTGTGCACACAAATCAGATGGTGTGCAAATGTCATTTTTTTGGCAACAATATGTCAGCAAGATATTTATAACTATGTGGAATTTTTATATGATGCAACGATATATGTTCTGTGCGGCCTTAATATTTTGTGCTTTGTTCAAAACGTGTTTCCACAGCAACAAGGGAATAATGCACAAGACTATAAGTGTCGTGCACAAGGTGAGATAGACAATTTAATACCACTTTTCATCGAGTGAAATTAGTAAAATATGCATTATACAAGAGCTTCATATGCCTATTGCAGTTAATCATTGAAAATCGAGGACAAAATAAGTGATGATAACTTTGATTAACACTTCTTCGACTTGTGATTATAAAGGCTTATAAACTGCAAACTTTCTAAAATACAAACCGAAATCAGAGAAAACTGGATACCAGCCACAATTAATCGATCACCAGAAGCGTGAACTGGTTTCCTGTCTCATTGAAACTGCGGGCCAACAAGTACGGAAGTTTGAACTATGGTGCTTATACGTACATTGAGTGACATTGATTTTTACAAGCACACATATTAAGAGTTATGCCCCTTTTTGCTGAAACCTGTATGTACTGCATGTAGTGCTTGTCAGCACAACATATTTTTCTGAAACCTTCAGGAAGCTGTTATAGTGGTAAGATGAGAAATTAATATTTCATTTCGTCAAAGTCAGATTAATAAGGGGAGTTATGCCCCTTGTTTGCTTCTAATGATTGTCAGCAATAATATACAGTCCAGACTTTTCATCAGAGTTTTCTGACACTTTGTATTATGATAAATTGATTCCTAGTTATTGTCCTCTATATCAGATTAATATCTATAGAGTTATGCCCCTTGTTTGCTGAAAGCTGCCCACAAGGCTTGAAATACTTGTCAGCAGGATATGTGGTGTGAAGTGTTCAGACCATTACAGGAAGATTCAGGACGAACTTTATCAATATTTAGGATTCCATTTTTGGCACAATTTTATTCTCAAATTACGAGACCCGACAGAGACATATTTAAACATGCTGATAAATATCAATATGTCATAACTTATTCAGGATTCCATTTTTGCACAATTTTATTCTCAAATTACGAGACCTGGTAGAGCCATATTTGAGAATTCTGAATGTTGATAAATATCAATTCATCATACCCTTGTAAATATTAAATTGAACTGAGTTATTTTTATACTGTTTTGACAAAATGCAAATGGCACATCGGAACTGTACTAATCCTAATTGATTTTACTTTCAGGCTTGGATGTGTGGAGGTCTGTTGGAGATTTTACCCTGTTCGAGAGTAGGTCACGTGTTCCGCAGCGTTCTACCACACAGCTTCCCTGATGGGGGACGACAGACGGTTGCTAGAAATCTACGACGTGTAGCAGAAGTATGGATGGATGATTACAAAAATATATTTTATTCTTCTTTGGTAAATATCTCACCTTCTATAAACACTCCCTGGTAATAAACTGGTTAATATTTCACCTTCTATAAATACCCCCTGGTAAAACTGATTAATATTTCACTTTCTATAAATACTCACTGGTAATGAAATGGTTAATATTTCACTGTCTATAAATACAACCTGGTAATTAACTGATTAATATTTCACTTTTTATAAATACAACCTGGTAATTAACTGGTAAATATTTCACTTTCTATGAGCTATTTGACTTGTTAGAATATATTTCCCAGAAATGAAGTATTTATCATCCAGTTACAGATTGCTGTAATGAGTGATTTGATTTGGGGCAAAGGGAAGATAACTATTGGCTCTGGCGCGTAAAATAGTTTATTATATAAGTGTTCAAAGACTAATATGCCTTATTGAGCCACCGTGACTCAGTGAATAAGACGTTGGAATGCTAACATGGAGGTTCTGTTTTTGATCAGTAGTGTTGCCCCAAAAAGTTCATCAGGATGATCAGTCGTGGTGCAGGACAGAGGGGGACAACATATTGTCATTAAGATGAAACGAAAAACAGAGGTCGGGTGTGCACATTGGCGTGCATGTCAAAGAATACTAGGCAGTTGGGATTTGATCGTAGAGTAGACTATAGCGTCGCTGTCCGGGGAAAATTTCCCTCATAGCACCCTATATGGCGCATCCCCTTCTTCATTAGCTCAGTCAGAGCGAACAGTAGGACGTTAAACCCTATTTTATTTCATTTTATAACTGGATGACTTGTATATTATATTTGATACAGGTTGTGCCAGGGATGTTTATAGATGGATATCAAAATCGCTTATTGATTGATTTTGTTTTGCAGAATATAGATGAAGTAGAAGTAGGTGATATACAAGAAAGACAGACTTTACGTACCAGATTAAAATGTAAAAGTTTTAAATGGTATTTACAGAATGTTATACCAGAGTTACCTGTCCCTGACCAATCAGATCTGGCATTCGGAGAGGTAGGTTATGTTCTTGTTGTCATAGTTACTGGAGCCATGTTACATCACGAACAAGAAGGTCCCAGGTTAGATCTCGTACCATTTGAGATTTTCCAGTGGGGTTTCCCCTAGTCGCTAGTGCTAGATGAGTGTCTGTTCATTTGGATGGGATAAAAGCAAAAACAAGGTCCTAGGGCCTGGCAAGGGACAACTAATAGTCATTTTTTATAGGACGAAAAGCTGAGGACCAGTATACACATTTGTGTGCACGTTAAAGAACCCTTGACAGTTGGAATTCGATATAAAAGTAGGCTATAGCGCCGCTGTCAGAGCAAAATTGACCCCATAGCACGCTGTATAGCATACGCTTTTCTTCAGTAGCCCAGTCGGAGTAGAACATCAAACCCCCATTTCATTTCATTTCACACTGCATGGCATCTTTATTAACCTAGTTAGTGTTGTAAATTAGGATTTAAAAGATGTAGACCATTGCCAGCACAGTAAGGACGATTGATAGCACATTGTAGACCATTGGCAGCCCATAGTACACCATTGACAGCACATTTTAGACCGTTGGCAGCACATAGCAGACCATTGACAGCACAGTAAGGACCATTGACAGCACATTGACAGCACATTGTAGACCATTGACAGCACAGTTAAGACACCCTGAGGCAGGTATAAATCAGAATTAGATTGTCACGCGGCTGGGCAAGTAAAATTTCGCACTGTATGGCATATCCTCTTCTTCATTAATACTTATTTCCTGTTTTTTGTAGTTTCGTCATCAGTTGTCTTTACAGTGCCTTACTGTCCAAGCAAATGGAAGAATAATTCTCTCAGCTTGTCAAGGACAGAAAAATACTCAGGTAAATTTGGATTTCGGCAGGTTTAAACATTTTCTTTCTTAATTTATTTTAGTCGACTTTAATGTTTTACCCCAGCCTCAGGTCTGTAATAAGAATGACCCCCCTCCCGCAAAATATTACATTCTCAGAGTTATTCTAAAAGCATGGCATTTCAAAAAATATCCTCCTATTGCTATCAAGCACAATGATAAGGATAAGGGGATACTTGTCGAAACGTGGTGCTTTTAGAATAAAACCAGTGATTTTTTCCCATAAAATATGAGTTATGTGAATGGTTATATCTAGAATCCCATTCATAGGACAGTGTGTAGTTGTTTGTACAGAAAACCAAGATCTGAATTAGATTCCCCTTATAACACACTGCATGGTGTTTATGTCCGTCTTAATTATCCCTCATAGCACACTGTATGGTGTATACCTGTCTCCTTTAGCACACTGTATGGTGTATACCTGTCTCCATTAGCACACTGTATGATGTATACCTGTCTCCATTAGCCCAGTATAGGTGCAGAACAGTAGAATGTTAAACCCCATTTCATTTAGTTTCATTTCACACTATATGAATCGTAATTTATATTTTCACATTAAACATGTATCTTACCTGTATAATTCCTGTAATACTTTTGTTATTCAGGTTTTTAGTTTGACTTCTCATGGCAACCTTCACCTATATAACAGTAGTGATGACAACAATAGTTGCATCCGGACAGACGATAAGAAATTATATCTAGGTGCATGTGGTCACCATATATGGAAATTACAGGTATGCAAGAGTTTTATGATTTAGGGGTAACCATGTAGATCACTGATTTCTCATTTGAGACACCTATATAAGTACTCTCCAGTTGAATGCCCGAGATTTTTCAAGTTCTATTTTCAATGGTCAATGAGACGAAAAATGTGCGTGAACAAAAACATTTCATTGATAGTTTCTCCAAAATAATTCGGGAGCCACAGTGGCCCTGTGAGTAAAACGCTGGCCCACTAGTCGGGGGTGGGGGGATGGGTCTCAAGGGTTTGCTCAAGGCGTTGGCCAAGGATGGAGGACTTGACATTGTCCTGCAGGAAAAAGACCACTTGACTGTTGAAAGGTGATCTAAAAGTAGGCTGGAGCGCCGCTCTCTGGGCAAAATTTCGCTCATACCATACGACATGGTATTGCCCTGTCTTCATTAGACAAATCCGAGCAGAACAGAAGGAAATTAAACACCATTTGTTTTTATTACAGTATACTTAGATACATATCGTCAATAGAGATATAAAAGTCGTATTTAATTTTGTCATTCCCTTATTTTAAATGAAATGAAATGAAATGGAGTTTAACGTCCTACTGTTCGCTTATTTTAAAAGTCAAATAGTACAATTATTTTTGCATGGTCTTAAAAACTGTGTTGCATTTTTAATGTGAGATAGTTATCTTGTAAATTCAGTTATTTTAGAAGTTATAAAAATTATTTTTTACAGGGTCAGCAAATTCAGCAAACGGGAAGTGAATTATGTCTTGGAAGTGAAAATCATGAAATTCCTTTAACATGTGACGCTCGACCTGAATCAACATGGGATGTGACTTATAAATTTCATCATAAAAGAAACATTGGTAGATGATGAAAGAAATATTTATAGATGGTTCAAAGCAATAATGTATTAATGATCTCATATGATACATAGTCAAGTTTTAAAACGATGAACAGTGTGACTACGTGGGTTCCCCCATTTGGCAAAAGTATTTACCACTAACAATTCAATGGGGACCCATAGCATGACATGTTCTAGACATTTGACGCCAAGTATAATATACATAACACTTGTAATAATATTCAGCGCAAGTTTTAAGACATTACCCAGTGAAATTGTGATGGCACATTCATCAATCCAAACGTCACGATACATGTTATTGAAGATCGGCTTTCTATTTATTGTTGTGATATTTCAATATAATAAACAAACTGAAGTTGAAGTGCTAACCGATTAGTATGATGTAAAACTATAGTACCAGTATTATTTTTAAGAAACATGGTGATTTGATTTGTTAAGAATTTGTTCTCTGATAATAAGATATAGAGAAATAAATTGTCATGGTTACTATTCAAAGAGTGATCATCATTACCATTATCGTTCTCAGACAGAATTATCTTCGTCATCATCACCATATTACTTCATCATTACATCATCATCATCATCATTTTCATCATCGTTAATCATCATCGTTAATCATCATTGTTAATCATCATAATTATGTTTCCAAGACATCATTTTTCCTGGGATTCATCGTTATCAATAGTCCATCGTGAATTTAGAATAGAATGTTCGGTTCGTTTCAAATGAATAAAATATTGTTTCAATTAAAATTAAAATCAATCAGGAATCATTATCAAGGTTTATGGTTTTATTATCAAAATCAGCATCAATCATCAATATTATTTCCCTGCATCATTGTCACAATCCCTTATATCTTTATCATTATCATCTGCGTTTATAATCCATCTTGAAAATCATCATCATGAATGTTTCTATATATCAGCATCGCCATAAATTATCATTTCCCTGAGGACACCATTGTCACAATCCCAGACATATCATCACCATCATCATCATCATAACTATTATTGTCATCATTTTTTGCCATGTGTCATTATCATCTATTGTTTTACCGTTTCATTTTGTTATCACCCCCTTACATTAAGCACATTTTTACCCTTTCATTTGTTGGTGAATATTATCTCCCCTTTCCGTCCTAAGATTAATCAATATATTTTACTATTTGTCTTTCCTATCTCTCTTTTTCATCATGTTCATGATTTTCTTTTACAGTAGTTGTAGGTTTCTTTTTCATTCACACTCCCCATTGTAAACATGTAGTCCTTCTAATCTCCTCCAATTATACATGTTCATTTTCATCCTTTTCAGATTCCATTTTCATTTTTCCCATTCATCCATTTTCATTCCATAATTCCATAACTCTTCATTATTCCACCTTTTTATGTGCCAATTATTTCCCATTTTCACTTTTCTCATTCATTCCACTCATATTCATTTTCGCCAATCCGTTTCTGTCATTGTATCGCTTCTCTTATTAAATCATTCCCTTTCATCTCCCCCATTATTCGTTTCATATTCCCGTTTTCAACCCCCAACAATTCATTACAAACCAATCCCCCTCCCCAACACACACGCACACACACACAAACACCCTTTCATCTTCCCTCCCTCTTTATCCTTTTCATTTTTCCCCTATTAAACCCCCAACAATTCATCACAAACCAATCCCCATCCACAACACACACACACCCTTTCATCTCCCTTTCATTTTCCCCATGTTATTCCTCCGTTACATCATGGTATTTAACATAGAAGCAATAAATTCATGAAACAGGGTAATATAATTTACTTTTTATAAGAAAAAGAAAGTTCTTTCATATTTTTATAACTTGATGTGTTTGTTGTTTATTTATATAACTATTACTGTCATATCAGCATAATTTATTGTATAATATTATCTGTTCTATATTATTGTCTTTGTTTTTAACTTGTTGTTGTCGACCATAGGTCATCGTATCTCATTCTTTATCAGTTTTTTATTAAAATCACTTAGATCAGGGTTGAGTCTGGGGCATTCACTATTCATGCTGTCATAAGATAGGTGTCAATTAACTACAGAACAAGGTTTGGATACAAGACGACCACAGAGGCTTCACGATAATCATTGCTAGAGTACACATTAAAATCTATATTTGTAATAACAATTACTGGTTTATTAACATGCAACATTTCGAAGATTATTCTCTCGTCTTTATCTAGCAAATAATAATATATTATATAATTTGAACAAGCTAAATAATTATTGCACACTGAATAATGTTTATAATTAACAATGGGTTAATAAACCAGCAATTGTTATTACATAAATTGTTTCTATTGTGTTACTGTCCATTTACCAAATGCCACTCAAAACAATATTTCAACTTTCATGTTTAGCAATGTACGCCAATTACCACTATCAATTAGGAATATTATAGCCCTGTACCATCAGCCCCCACCCTCTCCATGCCTCCCCCATCTGAATACGCCCACACAAAATATAACATAAACATGTAATATATCATATATCCAAAACATCTATAGAAACCAGGAAAGTAATTCTGTTTTATGTATTTTGTAAATATTATTTGTATTTAAATGACTTGGTCAGTTTGTTGTTGTGTATTTTGGATTGTATATGTATATATTACTGGAGTTATTATAATATTATTCATATGACAATATAATTGTAAACTCATGAATAAAAACATTTACAGAGTATCAATTACTTAAACATGCATTATGCAAGAGCAAAATCTGCTTATCACAAGTATTTCTTTAGGCCTGAAATGTTATCTAAATTATCAATTAGACATTAATTAACTTATCCAGACCATAATAAACTCTCGATGTCAAGGCTAGCCTTCGATGTTGGCTGGATTAGATTCCTATATGCCGCTAACGGCCGTTGATAATTAAATAAAAAAAAGTGGATAATCGAGACTTGCTGTTTATATTAATGATTTAAGTAATGATGACCGAGACTATGCCAAAATTTCACACGCTTCTTTCTCGGCTCATAGTGGATCAATTTGACTGAAATTTTCAGCAAATTATCTTTACACTATCTAGTTTTTAACTATTATAGCGAGAACTGCCATCTCGTTATTTTATCTCCCATAATGTATCTTTAACTTTAATACTATACAATGTTGACCCACAGTAAGACGTTTTCTAGAGAATGGTTTATCCTCTTATCGTTATCAAGTACAATGTAATAAGTCAATATATACTCTTCAAAAAAAGTAGGGGATATTGAAATGTAAATACCTATGCAGGTTGTGATATGATAAATAGTCATGGACACTTGACATGCTTTGAGAGTATGTTCACAGATGAAGAACCACTGAGGAAGGGTTGACGACAACTGCCGCGTGCTGGTTTATCCTATCCATGTTTGCTTTCCTATCGGTTCTTGCATAAGATTTACTGTATAGCGTATCTTTGCTTTAGTGTGTTACGTTTAATTTGATCGACAGACGTGTTCGTCGACGTCAACGGCAACCGACAACACTGCAAGAATTGGCCGTGGCACTGCAAGAGGTGTGGGTCAGATTGCCCAAAATCGTGATTGGACGGTTGATTAGGAGCATGCCACGACGAATTGCTGAATGTCTGAGGATTGGTGGAGCAATTACTCATTAATAAGATAAAAATCAAAAACGTCCATTTTCACTTTTGACGGTCTATCTCTTTTCGAGTGAAATGGGGCCGTCAGATAAGCCGCCCATATGAACTGTTTATGTTCATGTGTACGCAATTGGCCTGTTATTAACATATACTGGTTACCTCTAATAAAAACAGCAGTGCATTGTCGCGGTTTTGTATTGTTTCTGAATATCCCCTACTTTTTTTGAAGAGTATATAAGCAAATACCAGTGTCGATAAGGCGGAGCAATTACTCATTATTAAGACAAAAATCAAAAACGTCCATTTTCACTTTTGACAGTGTATCTCTTTGCGAGTGAATTGGGGCCGTCAGATAAGCCGCCCATATGAACTGTTTATGTTCATGTGTAGGCAATTGGCCTGTTATTATATACACTGGTTTCCGCAGTTTTGTATTGTTTCTGAATATCCCCTACTTTATTTGAAGAGTATTTTTCATATGAATCACTGGTTTTATTCTACTAGAACATGTTTCAATAAGTATCATCTTATCGCTATAAGGGTCAATATAATAAACTTTATATATCTTATCCATAATGAAACCTCGTACAGAGATAACTACTAATTACAGTAAAAGGTAAAAATGACGCTTAAAGATATTAGTTTTCAAGCCCTGGCCTATCCACTGTTTCATCTAAAAAGTGTTATATAATGCTGAGACGAAAAACTGAGGTCCTGAGTATATATTGGAATGCACGTAAAAGATCCCATGGCAGTTGGAATTCGATATAAGAGTAGGCGATAGTGCCGCTGCCCGGGCAAAATTTCCCTCGTAGCACACTGTATGTCGTATGCCCGTCTTCATTAGCCCAGTAGGACGTTAAACCCATTTCATTTCATGAAAAATTTCGTCGGGATTTTCCAGCGTGGTTTCCCCTTGTCAGTGCTGCACACTCGACGCGATTTCCCTTTACAAAGATCTTCTATACTCGATGGGATTTCCCTTTACACGGACGTTCTATATCTGACACCCTTTCCCTTTACAACGACGTTCTACACATGGAGGGCTCCAAGACAGTGGCGTCCCACCCATTGGGTGAGAGTGTCAAAATTGTAGGGAACCCGTACCTCCAAGGGGTGAGAGTGGTCAAATGATAGGACTCCGTACCTCCAAGGTGCCTCCACCAAATTTATACAAAAAACTTATATATTAATTAACAGTAATGGTCCAAAATTATGTTAACAAGTGAATTTAACGAATGAGTATCAACGAATTCAGGGCCCCAAAAAGGTGGTTCCTAGTTCATGTACATTTATTTTATCCA